GTTTAATTCGGCTTGTATTGATCCACCAAAAAGCTCTTCTTTTATTGAGAAATCGTATTTTTTTAAAACGGCCCCCCCTCTCATCCCCACAGTCTACTCCAACTACAATAACACAGCGAACCAATGGAGGCTGACAGCCAGCGGAGGCAGCACAATCCTAAATGCACAGGGACAACAGTCTGTCTTCATACATAATATTATTACCGAACTGACAAGAAGACAGTCGACATATCACATCCTTTATCTCGTGTTTCTAGAATTCTGTGTTTTACGGACACGTTAGGAATGGTTAAAATGACGTGTTTCTTAAAGGGAGTCTGGCACAATATTTTCCCGGGGCGCGGGGAGCTTAGTTGATTTAGTACTCAGACTGCTTTGTGCATTTTTAACATTTGTTGAGATACTGTGTCCCACGGTGTCCAAGTAGGACCAAGTTTTGTTTTTGTAATCTTATAATAATAATAATAATAATAATAATAATAATAATAATAATAATAAAACTATAGGCCATCCACACTAAGGCACATACTGAAATGTAGTGATAATGTGCGTTTTATATTTAATCTGTGTGTATTTTATATTTCACGAGGACTGAGCTTTATTTCATGATCTGACCACCTGGTGTCGCTGTTTCCTTTGCGGGAGCTATGCATGAGTGAGAGCATGCGCACTACTACCTACTGCACATTTCTGTTAATCCCGACCTTTATGAATATAGAGGTTCATTCCAAGGATAGAGGGTGTTGTGTGTAACACAGATACAAACATATAAACCCCCCTGAGACAATCATCTGTTTCGTCCATAGTCTTAAGCAGGTGCTGCTCTAACACACACACACACACACACACACACACACACACACACACACACACACACACACACACACACACACAGAGCAACTGAGGCTTACTTAAGATCATTAACACGGTGAAAGATAATTAGTAAACACTAACAACATTTGAATTAATTAAGTAAGATTATGATGTAAAATTAGTACAATAACAAAAGATGATTATCTATTAAAGGGGAATGTGCACAATGTTAAAAATGAATATATACCTAAACAAACAAATTAGTAAAATAATGAGCACACATATATTTTAATAAATGAACATGAGACTGCATGTGAGTTCAAATATTTAAGACTCTATGTATAGATAATTTATGCATTCAAAGAATTAATCATAACATCCAACAATGAGTATATCTATATAACTTGAATACACAAAATCAGGAATTATCAAACTACTACCAAGAACTACACTAAACACCAGAGCTGAGATACTGCTACCCCCTCCAACCTAAACCTAGACTCAAGGCGCGGACAGAAAGACATGCAGCAACGCTCCAACAGCCGCAACTCTTCTGGGAGGTTTTGCACATTCAGCTAAAAGAGCATTTATGAGGTCAGGCACTGATGTTGGAGGAGAAAGCTCGGCTCCTCCCAAAGGTGGAACAACAGCAGAGGGCCTTTGAAACTGTTGGTACTGTGTCACACTGATTGATTTGAGCCATTTTAATCATTTTATTTCACACACAAATACAACCGATCGCCTGAGCCTCTGTTAGTCCTTGATCCAGGTCTGTACATCTGTCCTGTTACTTTTCTTAAGCCAGAAAATCCTGGAGGAGAATCTGCATTAGTTTCACTTTAATCAGTTTCTGACAGTTCAAATACAGGAATCACTGCAGTGCACAGTGTTCTTTCCTCTCCCATTAATCATCTCACAGCCCCTCAGGTTTATCTGGTGACCCTTTTGGAGGGGACTGACCCTAGGTTGAGAACCACTGAATGAACAAGCTTGTAGTTAGTTAAATTACCTCCACCTGGAGCAGCTACAACAGTAACATAGTAACAAGCAGCAAACAAATCCAGTCATCTTTTGAATCAGGAGGATTCTGTTTTTAGGAGTTTTAATTCTATGATCAATCTTAATTAGTTTGTGATCTTAAAGCAGCAACAAGGGACTTTGATTCTGTGTTGATCTGGTGACCCCATGTGGTTAAAAGTGGTAGTGTTTCCACCTCTTTGTTTTATTGATTTCAAGAGAATTCAACCAAATCTGACCCGGTGTCATCCATCCAGAGTAACTGTATAGAACCAGCCAATCTCCTCTCTGTTTGTGTCGGTCATATAGAGACATCAGTATTAAACTGAGACTGTTTCATAACCACTTAAACTGCTTGTAGTACATTTAACCTGAAGATCAGTGAGGGAGAGTCATTAACCAAATGTCCAGCAGCCAAAAACCCAACAGCTTAAAGCTTCACACAGAAACAGAACTAACCAGGACCTCTGTAGCAGCTGTTGTTCAGCCTTAGAAATCACTCATCTTAACTCTATTACTCACAATATGAATATAAAATGACTTTATAGAACTTGTTTTTAGTCTTCAGTAAGACTTTAAGTATTCAAAAACAGCTGCTGCAGCAGATCAATAATCACATCAAAATAAAAGCATCCAGTCATCCATCAGGAAGGTTTGTTCAAAAAGTTTATTTACACAATCGTAGTGTCAGTCATGATGATTGTAATGCCTCACTATTGCTTAGGAAATTTAACAAAGCACCAATATGAGAGAGACACCTTGGAAACATTGAAAACTTTGTGAAAGCACAGCTGGTTTGGTCAAACTATAATTCAGTATGTTACTTGAATAAAAACATGAAACTTCCAATAAAAATAACTAATAGCAAACACACACCATCTTTTATAATGTGTGTGTATGCTCACTATCTGTAATGGCAGTCAGCATCAATAATACACATTCAGTCAGAGTATATTACAGTGGACAAACACAACAAGGCACATTGAAGCAACACAGAAGATAGCTGACAATATATACTATAAAATATTTACAGGCAAGTTCAGCTGGACCTCCCATGTCAATAGACCTTTTTAAGAATTAAAACCAGTGAGTTTAACTCTACCTTCTCTTTACAATCGTTTCCCTTTTTCCTTCAGTTAGGAATCTGATCTGCATTAATGTTTATTACAATCTCAGATCTGAGAAAAGTCTTTTGTGTCCATCTCTTCTCATCTGGACTCTGACAGTCGTCTAGATTCAGAGTCTCTTCTCACAAGCTCATTCAGACTATTAATGCTCAACATCCATGATATCAACCATTACTGCTTCACTTCACAAGCTTCATTTTGTTTGAATTTAAGTTTTGTCTCTTGTTTTAAGGCACAGCATGATTAAGCTACAAGTTACTTTATATTCACACACATCATAGATTCAGGAATCTGTAGTTCTGACGAATCAACCCACTATCTCTCTGCTCTGTTACAGTGTCATTAATATATATCTATTTAGTGTACCTGACCTTTTTGTTCTGAAACCTTTGAGAAATAAAAATGTGGATTTAATGTCATACAATATGATCTTTATGTCTCTTTAGTTTTATCAGTTTTGTTCCCTCATTATTTAGTTTTTTCCTGTTTTGTTGAGTTGTCTGTTGCTTCACCTCATTCATTTATGTGCTATAATACATGTAACAGTCCAGCATAAAGTTACATTTTGAGTCTTCATGGACAACAGTGTGAGAGGAAATACATGACAATACAATTCATTCATACAAAAGCCCTGTAATAAAAATGGTCTTTGTTGTTTGAGCTGCCTTATGTTGAAATATATCTAAGACCGTAGAGAGTGTAGGTATCAACACTAACCTAACATTAAGTGGCACAGATATAAAACACTTTGGCAGAATTTACCTGAGGAAAACGTCCTGTAATCCTAATAAACCTGTAATCTTGATTGATGTTGTTCATTTCCCCTGATTTCACGTCCAATTCCTGCTCCAACATGAGCCTTTGGGTCAAGTTGGTTTACAAGCAGTTACTGTGGTGGTATTCACGGTCGAGGTGCAACTCATCAACTCCATCTGATTACTGCAGAGTATTGAAGGGTAGGAAGACAAAGTGGTTGTAGATTGCACATGTACACTGTACAGCACACACCCCTCCACAACATGAACCTATCAAACAGGTGGTGGGTTAAGTGGCTGTGAAGAACCGTCAGAAGAACCGTCAGAAGAATCTTTAGAAGAATCTTTAGAAGAACCGTTAGAAGAACCGTTAGAAGGAGCCTTAGAAGCACCGTTGCTCTGCTGATGAGAACCTGCAGAGAAGAAAAAAGTATATATTACATAAAGTTAACTTTTATATTACAGAGAAGAATCTGTTTGTCAAAAGTCTGCAAACTGTACACAGTGGAGATTCAAAAGCTGTTTTTAGTCAGCTGATGAATTCATTTGTTTTACAGATGACTCTCAATGTTCAGTGTTACCCTGAGACCAATGAACCTTTCCATGATATTCTAATTTATTGAGATACACCTGTAAATGAATGAGTGACTTTAAACTTTATGTTCTCAAACTATAAAAGATCATAAAATAGTTCAATAATATGCCAATATGTTTACCATCATATGCTCCTCTGAGGGCTCCATAGGAACCATGTTTACCATTTTTGGCTCAATTGATCAATTACTTCATTATAAATATGGCTGCAGGTCTCATGTAAATACAAACTTGAATTTCTCCTACAGGGGATTAATAAAGGTATATCTTATCTTATCTTATCTTATCTAACAGAACGGTTCATATCTGAGAAGACAAACACAAACTGTCTCTGGACCTGATAGTCTCAGTGGATGTTATGTTGATGTCTGCACATTATGGATCTGTTGATACATTATATAAACTTACCTTCATTACGACGTATTATGATGCGCTTTGTAGCCACAAGAACAAACTGAACTGCAGCAAGAATTAAAACTCCTAAAACCAATCCACTAAACAATCCACCCAACCATCCAATGAGCTCTTTGCTGGATGATTCCTCACACAGTTTCTCTGAAACACATCACAAAAAGTTAATGTAACACTCAAACTGTAACTGCAGATCATGTACAGCACACTGCTCATAGACTACACACAACAACAATTAAAGGGGTCTAAAAATATTTGAAAACGAATTTGAAAGAAATCTCACCATTGATGAACACGTAGGTCTCAGAATGAGTCTGATGGTGGATTTCCTCCTGTGTGACTACACAGCGGTAGTGGTCGGTCTTGGTCACAGTGGTGAGGAGGGTAACGTAGTAACGTCCTCCTCTGTCTGAGACCTGTGTCTCCTCAGCAGGAAGGATGTTTCCAGCACTGTCCTTCCACTCTACTTTAGGTTTAGGAGAAGCACCTCGAACTTCACACTGCAGCAGAGCTCCATCCTCTGTGGGATTCAGTATCCTGATGTACGGATCTGGAGATGCTCCTGTGAACACAGTATAAAGAAAAGCTTGTTAAGGACAGCTCTGCTCTCCATTAAGGCTGAGGGGCCCTTTAGATAGTGACCCACAGAGTCCTACCTTAAAAGACAGATCAGGAGAAATCATGCTGATGATGTCACTAACTACTCATAAGCTGGGTATCTAACAGGGTTACAGATATAGATATCAGTGAGACATCATCACTCACCTGTGATTTCTCCTGAACGGTCTTTAATGGTAAGCTCTGAAACACAATAAGAACATTAATTACAGTGAGTGATATTAGAAACGTATATGTCACTGACATATTAATAGAATACAATGGAGGAAAATGACATAATTCACACAGCAAAGGACTCAAATTTAATAAGGGAGCTTCATGTTTGTTTGCATGTTTTAACTATCTGATTGATCTCAGCAGGTAGAACTGATTAGGCAGCACTCCACTTAATTTCCTGTTTGCTTATTTGCTTTGTTTTAGTTAAATAGGATAATCCCACTCTGATGTCTGTGCAGTAATGAAGCTAAAGCCAGCAGAAGTTAGCTTAGCATAAAGACTGAAAGCAGAGGGAACAGCTAGCCTGGCTCTATCTAAAGGTAAAATCAGACACAAGCACTTCTAAAGTGTTTAAACATAAACCTAAAAACACAGGTTGTGGTTTTATGGGAGCATACAAGCTGTAAGTCTTTCCTGCCTAGACTCCTAATCAATGCAATGTATTGTGATCAGGATGTGATCAGATCTGACTGACTACATTTGGAGATACTCGTCTGGCTCGCATTGTCTATGTATGTAGAGTTATATGTAACCTTTGGAAACCCCTTGACAAATATCATTTTGTTTTGTGTGTTTATTGAAAACAAAACAAACTTTTAATGGTATGTAAGATACTATAGATAGGGATGCACCGATCCACATTTTTTCACTTCCGATCCCGATACCTGAATTTGGATATCGGCCGATACCGATACTATTCCGATACCAGAGCTGTGTTTGCTTTAATATTATCATTATCATTATTGTTGATTTTTATATGAGGCTGAAATAAACTCCTCAACAGGCAAGTATGATATCACCTGTGGAGTCATTTCAGCAGACAACGTTAAAGCGCAGACATGGCTCATGGATATCGGAAATCTCCGCAGGTTGGATCGGGAAATTCCGATACGTGAATTACGCTGGTATCGGTCCCGATACCGATACTGGATCGGATCGTCCCCATCCCTAACTATAGATAATATTTTTATTAATATTTGATAATGGTCTGGTCACACAGCACGTCTCACAGCACGTCTCACTAAAGACTAAATGGACTAAATGGGATCAAACATACAATGACTGCTGGAGATCTTGATAATATAAAATAATATTAACATTTAACTGTTTAATGAAAGTACTCACCAACAACAAGCTCAATGTAGAAGGTTTGACTTGGTTGAAGACGAGGAAAATCACAGGTGTATTTTCCACTGTCAGATATCTTCGTATCTCTGATCTTTATGGAGGCGTTACCGTTCTTCAGTTGATCAGAAAAATGTGAGACTCGACCTTTGAACTGCTCATCTTGGCCGTTATTGGAATGATCGCCTGCATCATACATGAACACCTCCTTCTTCTTCTTCTGACCATCTTTCCTCCAGTCAAACAGTTTATCTACAATGTTCTCCTTGGAGCTGAGAGAACAGGGTAGAACAACATCACTGCCTTCTTCCACAACCACTCTGACCACAGCTGGACCTGAAAGATGAAACATATTTCAATCATTAGTTTTAATAGAGAGCAATCATTAAATATAAATGATCAATCTAATAGATATGATAACAGATTGATGCAGAAATGAGTAAATATTCAGCTCAGTTTTTCTCCATTGTTTTGATATATTGTTAGAAACAGAAGCTCAGTTTTGAGAGCACATCCATCCATGATACCCAAGGTGCAAGAGCTCATGCGGGACACTGTACTCTCTACAACTGAATGTGTTAGAGTACATTGGGAGGATGGAGAAGAGTCAGACTGGACCTCATATTCTCCACCTTATTCACAGAATGACCAATGAACTCTTCAGATTGCTCAACATCTGGGGCCAGCTGCATTAAACTCTCGTATATTTAGGTGTAGAAATCTGTGTTAACACAAAACAGGAAACACGCAGTCTTTAGTTCAGATTTCTAAAACCTACGTCTGTTCCTGCGTGTTTTTCCCTCATACATCTCTATCATCCTGAAACCTGCACGAGCCTTCTGACCATTCCCACCATTTACTATAAATGGCTTAAAAAGGACCCAACTGCCTGATTTACATATGAAGGCTCAGCATTTAGAGGAGTTTAGAGGAGAAATGGCAGAAGGAGGGAAAAAGCAACTGAATAAGAAGAAGCTCAGTTTTACAGAATGTGAACTGGAGGTAAAACGTTTATTTGGATCCCTAAACTCTGGTATGAACGTCTACAACCCCTAATATAGTGGCACTTTAACAACCTGTCAATTGGTCACTCACACCTGAAGGTATAAATTATTCTTATTCATTATTTATATAAAGATGATCATAGTTATTATAATGCAGTGACAAACACACTTGATAGAAAGAAATCAAGGCCAGTCAAAAAAGGTCCTTAATAACACACATCCCTATGTTAGTGGAGTTTTTAAACTGCAGCTTGCATCCTAACACAGTGCACTGAAAGAATACAGCTCTAAATAAAATGTCACTTATTTGGCGACTATGACTCCAAGGACTATGTGATGTTAAAGATGTGTAACAGCATGCGCATTTTCACCACCTTTTATACATTTGGAAACCTGCGTGGAAAGATGCATAAACACACTTTCCACGTGTATGTATATTTTCCACATCTGTCCTCTGGATCAGAACAAGAAGCGGAGGGACCGCTGATAACAGAGCCAATTACCCTAAAGACAGCTTTAGGATTGTGCTTGTTTCTGGATATTAATTCAGAGAAATAGGCTCATAACAACAACAATAAATAAACATTTGGTTTTTAAGGTTACGATGTGCTCATTCTACCAGGGAAGTCTATCAGGTTTCTGTTTCCTAGTTTTAAACTGCACTTTGGTTGAGAATGGAGATGCACTCTTTATTAAATGAATTTAACAGTGCGTCACAACAACAACAACAACATGTGGCTGCTGAACCAGCGTTGATAATGAGTGTGTTGTAGGGTAAAGACTCAGCTCAGTACCTGTTCTCTCTACAACCAGCTGATAACACACACACACACACACACACACACACACACACACACACACACACACACACACACTTCACATACTACTGTTAGTTTAACTTTAAGCAATAATAAATAAATAAATTGTTTATTGGCTGTGTGCTTTTATTCTTTAAGGTCCGACCTAATTCTATCAATATGCTCTCTAACAGTTATAAACGTGTTTAAATAAGTATTATAAAGTTGTTTTCATGTTATTGTTGTTATGATTGTGTATTGAATCTTTATTTGAGGGTGAGTTGTTGCAGTGGACTAATCAGTAACTGTAAGCTCTCAGTAGCTCACATTAACTAACACTAAGTGAATATAGTGTTTGACTTTCTTACCGGTTTCATGTCCAAATATAATTCCAGCTGATATCAGCAGACAGACACATACATCCTTCAGAGCTGTTTGCTTCATTCTCATTAGTTGTCCTCCTGAATTAAAGCTGAGGGACTAAAAACTAACGTTAACTATCGATGTTGTGATGCTAAGGAAGTTGACTCGAGCTCGACTGACTGCTGGAGTGTGTGCATGCGACGCGCATGTACGGAAGCCAGAAGGAAAAGTAGTTCCATATCCGACACAAATACTGACCACAGGTTTCACTTTTTACTTCTATAAAATTGAGTAGAGAATCTGTGTCATCAATGTATTAATATTTCTTGTAAAAGTGGACCGATAGGAGGTCCACTTTTGCAGCGGAGGAGATTAGAGGAGAGGGAGAGAGAGGGAAAAGTCTCTGTCTTGGAAGCCCTGCAGAGAGGCAGGCAATATCCAGGTATAGTGAAAGTACATCACAGTGCCCACCATCACAGGCATATAGACGTAGAGAAGATACATTTACATAAAATACTAGAATGTTTTTGTCAATTTTTGCATTAAAATATATTTTATTTATTTAGTTAGATAAAAATGTTTCCTCCCAGCACAACATGTAGGCGTTAATTTAAGTCACATTCCTGCCATCATCTTAACACAATTCAGTATCACCTAAGTTAGAATTGTATAATAATTAAATTCTATTACTTAAATGGCACATTTCAAGTAAAACTGTAGCTATTTAGTCTATTTTTGGTGGTATGTGAGTTATACTTGCCATAAAAAGACTTCCTTTTACATCAAAAATATTTTTATTTTTCATAGATGACTCCCAAAGAGCTGCAGAGATAACAAGAAGTCTCGGAGAAATTATCGCCAAGGACCTACAGCCAATATCAATTGTAGAGGACAGAGGGTTTAACGCATTTGTTAAGACTCTTGTTCCACACTACAGAATCCCAAGCCGCAAACGTATGATGGAAGGCGTAATTACAGACTTGTACAACAGCTGTAAAGAGAAAGTAAAGGCAGCTCTGCAACGTGCACACAGTGTGGTTCTCACAACAGACTTCAAGGACCACAGAAGCATATTTAACTGTATCTTGTCATTTCATTGACAGCTGGCAAATGCAAGAGTTTGTTCTGGAAACGTGTTGTTTCCCTGGTCAGCACACAGCAGACAACATCAGTCTAGAGCTGAAAAGAATAACAGATGAGTGGGCCATAATTCAGAAGGTGATAGCAGTTGTTACAGACAACAGTGCTAATATGGTTTCTGCAGTTCACAAGGCTGGGTGGAAGCACTACCCTTGCATTGCTCACACCTTAAACCTAGTGGTAAAAGATGGGATAAAAGCAGTGTGTACAATGTCTACAATGTAGAATGTGACCTTTGTTGTCGTTCAAGTTCAAATTCTGTCAAGTTATAATCTGAAGACCACTCTGTCTGGTCCAAAAAGAATTATATTGAAGTCAGAGCAGCTGTTCTTATTTTCTCTTTTTTTGAGAGATTTTTTTAAAATTTGATTTGCACATATTTTCAGTTGACTTGTTGATTTGCACAGATTGTCTTTAATTGCTCTGATTAAAGAGAAAACAAAGTCTGATATTTGGCAGCTTGTTTAATTCTTATTCAGAGGTATAAAATACATTTTTCATAATCACATTCACAAGTTTTCATTGTAAAAGTCATCATGTTCATATACACAAGTAGGACATCTAAAAGTATCGGTATCGGTATTGGTATCGGGATACTAGCCTTGGTATCACCTGGTATTGGATCGAAAGGAAAAATAGTGGTATCGCACATCCCTAATAGACATACAAACAACCGGAAGTGACACACTGCTTCCTCTTCAGGTTCTTTAAAAATAAAGTTTATTTACAAACGTAAACATTGACAGTAAATAAACAGACAATGCCAGCGGACAGACTGTAATCATACATTAGTTAAATAAAGTGTACAAGGTAAATAAACGTAAAGTTCAGACACTTCAGAGACTGTAACACACATCAGGGATTTAAAATCAACTTAAAATCCTGATTAAAGGACAATTACTCCATAACTTCTAACTTATCCAGATAACATTGTTGTTGTTTATGTGCTTTGTTGTATGTTTTGTGTATTGTTGTCCTTGTTTTTAATGGTTTATGTGTTTGTATGAAGTGTCCTTTGTGTCTGACATTACATCTGTCCAGAGACTGCAGATGAAAATGAGTCAGGACGGTTAAACTGGCACATTTACAGAAATATCTGTTACTGTAACTTTAAACTGTTTACATAATGAATAAATAAATGATGAGATGATATCTATTAGGTGGAGAATTATATTAACACAAAACATTTCAGCAATGTAATGTCAGTATTCTCATTCACAGTTTGGTTTTATTTTAAATACATTTATTTTGGTGTCTCTAGTATCTAACCCGGTAGGATCTCAGGTACCAAGGTTAAGATCTTGAGTCTGACCTGTAGACCTTTTACTATATGTCCTCCCTCTCCTGTCCATCTCTCAAGCTGCCCTGTCGAGTAGAAATACGCCCAAAAATATGAATTTTATTAAAGAAATTCAACAAATCAAACTTTCACTGCTTATCAAGGAACTTTAATAGTGTAACGCTGGTTACTCTTAGCGTTAACTATAACTTGATTGTTACTATATTAACTACCTTTGGGTCGTGGGTGAAGCAAGAGCACAGGGACAACTTCATCTTGGTTATTCGATCCACTTTAATGTCCGTTTCAACAGTAGGACAACTGAACACACTTAACATCATATCACTCCGCCAATCTTAACCATGGGTAACATTCCAGGTAACTTGCACCTTATGTAGTTCTAGGGCCGGCCCAAGCCTCCATGGGGCCCTAAGCAAAATTTGATTTTGGGGCCCTCTATTACTGTGTCTTTTTGGGAATGTGAATGTGTCCTTTATAGGCAGTGGCCCTCTTAATACCTGTTCAGTCCTTTCTGAGTCTGACAGGAAAGAGGGACACTCAGCTGGGTCAACTGGCGGAGCTGATGATCCCTGCTCCAAACTGGATCCTGAAGAAGACACATCAATCTCCATGACCAAAGATGAAGGACCTGTAGGGAAATTAAAATAATATTTTTGGACAAAATTATTCATCTCAGAATATTCTGCAGTACACTGAGCAATTATAAAGGCTGTTCTGTTGTTAACTTACCAGGTACAGCTGAGGTTGCAGAGAGGACAGTGGGCACAGTGGATGGAGCAGAGGATAGAGATGGACCTGAGATGAAAAACAAGTCCCTTGTCATATGATTATATCTTATATTAGTATATCTTAATGAGATCATTTGACTAGAAATTAAATGTATATGATGTTTGATCACCTGATTCATCAGCCTTGGCTGCTCCTGAGGAGGTGGGTTGCCCCTGGGCTGAGTCAGTGCCTGCTCCTAAATACTTTAACAGTGCTCCTGGGGAAGTTTCATATAACGTATGAGCATAATAGGGAGTTGATGTAAAAGGAATATGTTTATTTACTCACATAAATTACTGTGCTCTGCAGCAAACAATTGCAAACAACATACCTCAAACTATAAGTTAACTAAATTAATTCATTAATGTAAAACCATATTGCTAACAAACGTCACCACGTTTGTAATTAACGTTAGTTATTAAACATTTGCTATCAAACGTTATCAAAAACGTTGTTTTGATGTATTACACAAACACAACAACGTTAGCTTGAATAGTAAGCTATCTAACCTATATAATCCTATCTAACCTATATAATCCTATCTAACCTATATAATCCTATATAATCCTATCTATCCTATATAATCCTATCTAACCTATATAATCCTATATAATCCTATCTAACCTATATAATCCTATCTAATTTATATAATCCTATATAATCCTATCTAACCTATATAATCCTATCTAATTTATATAACCCTATATAATCCTATCTAACCTATATAATTCTATCTAACCCATATAATCCTATATAATCCTATCCAACCTATATAATCCTATATAATCCTATCTATCCTATATAATCCTATATAATCCTATCTAACCTATATAATCCTATATAATCCCATCTAACCCATATAATCCTATATAATCCTATCCAACCTATATAATCCTATATAATCCTATCTAACCTATCTAACCCATATAATCCTATCTAACCCATATAATCCTATCTAACCTATATAATCCTATATAATCCTATCTAACCTATATAATCCTATCTAACCTATATAATCCTATCTAACCCATATAATCCTATATAATCCTATCTCACCTATATAATCCTATATAATCCTATCTAACCTATGTAATCCTATCTAATTTATATAATCCTATATAATCCTATCTAACCTATATAATCTTATCTAATTTATATAATCCTATATAATCCTATCTAACCTATATAATCCTATCTAATTTATATAATCCTATATAATCCTATCTAACCTATATAATCCTATCTATCCTATCTAACCTATATAATCCTATATAATCCTATCTAACCTATATAATCCTATCTAACCTATCTAACCTATATAATCCTATCTAACCTATATAATCCTATCTAACCTATCTAACCTATATAATCCTATCTAACCTATATAATCCTATCTAACCTATATAATCCTATATAATCCTATCTAATTTATATAATCCTATATAATCCTATATAATCCTATCTATCCTATATAATCCTATCTAACCTATATAATCCTATATAATCCTATCTAACCTATATAATCCTATCTAATTTATATAATCCTATCTAACCTATATAATCCTATCTAATTTATATAACCCTATATAATCCTATCTAACATTTACATGTGGAC